CTTACTGTCACAATAGACAGAAGCAGGTTGAGGCATAATAATGGTGAGATCTTTGAATAAGTATTGCAGCCATTGAAGTTCACAAGACAAGGATGCAAGGGCCCTGTATTCAGCTTCAGTTGAAGATTGAGAAACCGTGTTTTGTTTCTTTGATTTCCAACAAAGAAGAGAAGTGCCAAGAAGAACACAAAAACCAGTTGTGGATCTACGCGTATCTGGACATCGTGCCCAGTCAGGGTCAGCAAAGCCATAGAGTTTAAGATCAATGGTGGAAGAAAAAAATATGCCCTTGGCAGGAGAAAGTTTCAAGTATCTGAGAACTTTAATGGCAGTCTGATAATGTGGAATCAAAGGATGAGAAATATACTGACTCAGTTGTTGAACAACATAAGAAATGTTTGGCCGAGTATTAGTAAGGTAAATCAACTTGCCAATCAGCTTACGATAAGAAGAGGGACCCTGCAAGGGTTGACCAGTAGAAACAGATAACTTCTAAGTTAGGGTCAAAGGGAACAGAAGAAGGTTTGCAAGCAAGCAAACCTGTCTCTTCCAACAGCTCAAGAGCATACTTCCTTTGGTTCAAAAAAATGCCCTTAGATGACCTTGAAATCTCAAAACCTAAAAAGAATCGCAGCTATCCAAGATCTTTGATTTTGAATTCCTTGTCAAGCACACTTTTGACAAACTGAATCTCCTTATGAGAGTCCCCAGCTAGGACTATGTCATCAACATAAACAAGTAAGGCAGTGAAACTTTGTTCAGTAACCTTGCTGTACAAGGAATGGTCTGCTTGAGATTGGGAGTATCCCAAAGAAAGAAGGAACACCGAAAGTTTTGAATACCACTGTCTACTGGCCTGTTTTAAGCCATACAAGGATTTTTTCAACTTGCATACCTGAGTAGGGCTGGAAACAGAAAGGCCAGGTGGGATTGACTTATAAACCTCCTTATTCAAGTCACCATGCAAAAAGGCATTGTTTACGTCCAATTGTTCCAAGTACCAACCTTTGATAGACACAATGGATAAGAGGACTTTGACAATGGTGATCTTAGCAACTGGAGAAAAAGTGTCAAAATAATCAACCCCTTCAAGTTGAGTATATCCTTTAGCAACAAGCCTAGCCTTATACCTCTCAATAGAACCACCAGCCTTGAATTTGATCTTGTACACCCATTTACAACCAATGGGAACCTTTCCATGAGGCAGATCCACTACAGTCCAAGTGTGATTCTTAGCAAGGGCCTGTAACTCATCAGCCATGGCATTCTTCCAACAAGCATGCTTAATTGCCTGAGCATATGTTTTTAGTTCAATATTTGTGGAAATGGAAAAATAATAGTGTTTATATGCAGGAGAACAATTTCAATATGATATAACAGAAGAGAGAAGATATACAACATTGGAAGAATGGCCAGAATTAGGAGTTCGAGCAGAGTAATAATGGTAGTCAGCCAAGTAACTAGGGGGATTGGAAGCTCTACTGGACTGTCTGATAGGAAGATTAGGAGTATTTGAACCTATAGGATGACTACAAAGATCAGGGAAAGGTTTATGAGGAGTAGGAGAAACTTGGTTTAGGTCAGAAGGTATAGGTGTAGAATTGTCACTTGAAGAGCTAGAAGGACTAGTAGGAGAAGGATTAGAGAGGGCAGCAGAAGGACTGGAGGGTAAAGAGAATTGACTGGTATTAAGGGGTGAGTGATGAGTACTACTACTGTCAGGAGATGTACAAATAGCAGAGTGTGGGGACAATTCAGTAGTACTTGTATGCTCAGTGTGAGCAGATGGTGGGGGCAGATCAAGAAACTCAGTGGGAAAGGAAGGAATATTTGAAGAAGAAGATGAGGGTACAGAAGAAAGCCTAAAAGGGAAGACATTTTCATAAAAAATGATATTTCTGGACACAGAGATGGCATGACTTTGAAGATTGTAAACAATGTATCCCTTGGTACCATCCCTAAAACCAAGAAAAATAGCCTTGTGAGCTCTAGGATCAAATTTAGTCCTATGTGTCTGTAAAGTAGATGCAAAGCATAAACATCCAAAGACTTTTAAGTGAATGAGTGAGGGAGGCTGTTGAAACAAAAGTTCATAAGGAGACTTGGATTTCAAAAGGGGTGTAGGCAACCTATTTATGAGATGAACAGCATGTTGCACACAAAAATTCCAAAGAGCCAAAGGGACATTGGAGTGAAAATATAAAGCTCTAACAACATTTAATATATGTTGATGTTTTCTTTCAACTACACCATTCTGTCGAGGAGTTTCAACACAAGAACTTTGGTGAAGGATACCCTTAGACAATAGAAAATCAGTAAGGGAAATAAATTTTGTACCATTGTCAGACCTAAGACACTTAAGAGAAGTTTTGAATTGATTTTCAATTAGAGCTACAAATTGAATAAGGCTAGTTTTAGTTTGATCCTTAGTTTTGAGGAAAATAACCCAGGTAAACCTAGTATAGTCATCAACTAAGGTCAAAAAATATTTGTGCCCTAGAGTAATATAGTGGAGAATGGCCCCCATAAGTCAGCATGTAAGATATCAAAAGGAGCACAAGACATAGAAGTACTAATTGGAAAAGAAAGTTTCTTTTGTTTTGCAAAGTGACATGAGTCACAAGGATCCAGTTTAGTATTACAATCAATGAAAGGAAACAATTTGGAAATTTCTTGTAAACCTAAATGAGGCACATGACCAAGTCTTAAGTGACATGTATTACAAGAGGTATTATTAACAGAAGGAAAAAAAGAATGAGGTCTTGTGAGCTCAAGAGTATAAAGTCCCCTTTGAACATTAGCTATACCAATCATTGCCTTGGAATGATTATGCATAATGTGACATGCATTAGCATGGATCTGAACAAAACAATTATTGTTGTCAACAAGCTTAGAAATAGAGATAAGATTAACATGAAAACTAGGGATATACAAGACATGCTGTAAAGTCAAGGAGGGAGAAATGACAACAGTACCAGCTATGGATGCAATCACTTGAGAACCATTAGGTAAATTAACAGGAATAGGAATTATATTCTTATAATCAAGAAACAAGCTAAGGTCAAAGCAAATATGGTCAGTAGCACCAGTATCAAGGATTCACAGGTTAGGATTCTTACCATTGGTACTTGAATGGGAATTCAAGGCAAAAGGAGAAGTGGAAATAGAATTGGCTTGAGAATTAAGTTGTGATTGTTGCAGCAATGCCAAGATGTGAGTGTATTGCTCTTGAGTGAGACCACATGAGGATGCAGAGGAGGAGCCTATGGATTGGTTCTCAGAGGCATTGTTGGCCATAGCAGCTGGCTGGGAAGCAGTGGAAGAACCTGAAACCTTTCCTTTGCCCTTATATCCAGGTGGAAATCCATGCTTTAGAAAAAAAGTTTCTAAGGTGTGATTGGTCCCGTTACAATGAGTGCAGTCCCTAGCGTGACCTTTAGGACCAGGTCCTTGGGATTTCCATTTGAAATTGCCATAGCCAGACTTACCATTAGTGTTATTCTGAGATTGGACATTCAGAGCTGTAGCCTCATCAGTGTTTCTAGCAGGGGAAATCATGTTAGAAACAGAGTTATTCATCTCTCTCTCTTGTTGAATAACAAGAGAGAACGCCTTATCAATGTTAGGCAGAGGATTTATCATCATAATCTGTGATTTTGAATGCGTGAACTTGTCATTCAATCCTTTCAGAAAATGTAGCACATAATCTTGTTCCCTATAGCGCTGAACAGAAGCAATAGCATCACAAGAACAGGGAATACCACATGTGCAAACAGGAATAGGGCGATAACTCTCAAGTTCATCCCATAAGACCTTCATCTGAGTAAAATAATTAGAGACATCGAGTGTACCTTGACGAAATTTGTACAATTCCTCCTGGATGTCAGATATGCGAAAGATATCACCATGAGAAAACCTAACTTGCAATTTCTTCCAAACACCAGCAGCATTATCGATCCACAACACCGACTTCGCAATTGACTCAGAAATTGAGCGTTGAATCCAGGCAAGGACCATTGTGTTACACCGAATCTAAGGAGCATAGAGAGGATCGGATAACAGTGGTTTAGGTAGAGTGCCATCAATGAATATGTCCTTGTTCTTGGATATCAAAGCAATTTGCATCGATCGAGCTCAAATATGATAGTTCTTGACGTCAAGTGGAGGAGAGACAAGTACAAGCGCTGGATTTTCGTTTGGATGCAAGTAGAAAGGATTTGCGGAATTTGTAGAAAAATATGCATAATTCTGGTAAGCCATGGAAGAAGAAGAACGAACGCAAGAAAACGCGATCGAAGAGAAATAAGAAGAAGCAGAGAACGTCACTCTGAGAAGCAAGAACAACGGAAAGGAAACGATTGCTACCAGAGCATGATTTGCTCTTATACCATATCAATAATGGTGAAACACTCCATTGGAGGAAGAGAAATGTAACAAACTTCCAACTGTAATCGTAACAGAAAAGCTAAAGAAAGTAAAGTTTTACTATTGTATTGAAAATGAAGTGATAAGATACATGTGGTGTTATATATATATATATATATATATATATATATATATATATATATATATATATATATATATATATATATATATATATATATATATATATATATATATATATATATATATATATATAAGCCTATATTAAATATCAGCCATTGGATCAAGATATGCTAATAATAAGCTAATCTAATAAAAGCTAAGAGAAACACTAGAGAAGTTGATACATAAATATTAGTGTAGACAAGATGATATAGTATCCCTGCCACACGTAATCTATTGAATTCTTTGAACTCATTGCCTCTATGGTGGGAGTCTACATCTGCTCTGACAATTGCACTCTTAAACAAGATTGCACGGATATGGCTAGATTTATGATAAGAACTAGATGCTCAATGGTGTTGAAATATATTTTCTTTGTGAAAATTGATGGTGAAACATTCTGAATCAAGGTTGTGGAGGAATCTCAAGGTCCTTTTAGAATTTCATGTCCAAATATGCAACCACCTGGACATATTATTCACTCAGACAACACATCCTCCGCCAAAAGCTCTGAGGACTGGGATTTGGAGGTTGTCGGAGAAGATGATCGATTCGAAGAAGATGAAATTAGTGATACAAATACCAATGAAAAATTAGCAACGGGAAATGGTGGGGGTGGTAGTAGAGCATTAGTAGTTTTCGATGAAGTTATAGGATGAGCTGTTATTCCTAGTATTTCGAACTCCTTTAACATCATTGAACACCAGCAGTGCTGTGGTAGAGTTTGTTTCTGAAATCATAGAAGAGGTTAGAAGATTTTTTGAGCATAGATATAAAGAACATGATCCCATCAGACCCGTCCTTGATGGTGTTCAGTTTAGTAGTTTATCTATGTAGGATTGTGCCATGTTGGAAGAACCTTTCTCGTTAGAAGAGTTGAAATCAATTATCTGAGGGGTGATGGAAGAAAAAGTTTTGGACCAAATGGTTTCAATATGGATTTTATCAAAAACAAAAAAGTTGGTCCATAATTAAGTTTGATCACTTATACTTCATTCAAGAATTTCTTAGGAATATTGTTTTACCTAAAGATATCACTTCAACTTTCATAGCTCTTATCCCTAAGACAAAGAATCCCCCAGGTCTTAAGGAATACATGCTTATCTTCCTTGTTGGATGTCTGTATAAGATACTTTCTAAGTTATTAGCCTCTAGGCTAAAGAAAGTCTTAGGTTCTATTATCTCTAAGAACCAAACTACTTTCATACCTGGAAGAAATATGTTTGATGGTCTGTTAATAGAAAATGAATTGGTTGACCTAGCCATTAGGGAGAAGAAAAGATGTATGCTGCTTAAATTTGATTTTGAAAAAGCCTATGATGATGTGAGTTGGAGTTTTCTCAAATATGTATTGAGAAGATTGGGCTTTGGTAGTAAGTGGTGGAAGGATTTGGTCTCTTTAGGGATCTGTGGTGGCTCATTTGTTTTTGTTTTCTCAAACAATATTACTTGTAGTTTAGGGAAAGGCTCTAACATTCCTTTTTGGAAGGGAAATTGGTTAGGTGAGAATTTCCTACAACATCAGATTCCAGAGGTTTTCCAAAGTAGTGTTTAGAAGGAGGCTTCTGTGGCAGAAATGGGGAGATGGAGCAGTGATCCATGGATTTGGAGTTGGGATGACCATCTCATAATTAGAGGCCACTATTCAAATTAAATTTTATCAAGCTTATACTCCTTGTTAGATGATTCCATGCCCTTTTTGGTTGAAGAAGACAAATTTTAATTGGAAAGGTGCTTTAAATAAGTCTTTCTCTGTTAGTTCTTGTTACAGGTTTTTAGAGAAACTCAGGCCTCGACTGCTGTTTCAGTGGATATAAAAGATTATTTAGAAATCATGTGGAGAACCAAAATCCCTCCAAGGATCCAGATATTTGCATGTAGGTTGTTTCTCAATAGACTTCTGAGTAAAGATCAGTTGAAGAAAAGAACCATTCTCAACAACTCAAGTGATCTAAACTGTGTGCAGTGTCTTATGGAAGAAGATAATATAGGCCATTTTATGTTTGCTTGTCCCATTTCTATGAAGGACTCAAGATTACTCAATAAGAAGGTGGTCACACATCTTTAAAGGTGTCATCGAGACCACCCACTTTCATAAAAGCAAAAACAATGGAAGATTAAACAAAATCCAACCATGAAGATGGAGTAATATTCTGAGGCGTGTGAGCATTTTTCTGTGATTTCTTGTCCATAATGTGGTAAATTTTCAGATTCAAGGATGCAAAGCGCCAAAGAATAAGATAGTTTTTAAACCAAGGAATGATTCAAAGACAACATGACTGACTCTTCAGAGACTATAATCTAGCATGCAAAAGGACTACACCAAATGTGTCTAATCACTCACATGTAGAACTGAAAAGTTTCGATTTCCAAGAGCCCCAATGATGGCACTTTCGAAAATACGTTTAGAAATATGGAGCATTAAATGCATGAATTTCCAAGAAACAGAAATGCTTCCCTTTTCCTCGTTCAAAAGCGATAAGAGAAGTGGTCAGAATCAGAGGTTGTCATAAAAACTCTCGCCCCGCTACCCGTGAACAGGGGCTAAATGGAAATTGTTTTGGGACAGCCGTGTAAATCTCGATCGACTACCACAGAGGAATCTCACTCCTTCTAGAATAATCTAAAAGCACGAGAATTATCATCTAGTTGATCACAAAGGATCTCAACTTCATGTACATCCAACGTCTCTCTATAATCTACTCCTAACAAATAGTGAGTTCGTTATTTCCCCATCTCTCTGTATATATAGAGAAAACGCCAAATTGAGGTAATAAGTTTCAAATTCATTTTCACTTCACTCTTCTTCTGCACAAACTGTAAGAACAAGATTGGTTCTGCGTCTGGCCTTGAGTTTTTATGATAACTTTACATGGTATCTTTGAGAATAATTGCGTACTATAATGGTTTATGTCTAGTATGTAGCTTTTTCTAAACAGGTTCTCACTCGAGTAGAAGGCGTGTGATGTAACACCCTATTTCTCCAACGGTAATTTTAATAGAAATCAGAGTAAAATAAAACTCCAAGAATAGGATGTCACATTATTCAACATATTTAAACTTTGCTCAAAAATAATTAAACGGACACATAACACATTTTTCAGATGAACCGACAACATTTCAACATAGCCTTCAAACTTCAACTTTATTAAGGCAGCGGAAAGAAATTCATAAAATTGTTTTCAACATCTTCAACCCATCGCAAAACAACATTTTTAATCAAATAAAATAGAGTCTATAGTACTCCCACAATACTCCAAAATAAAAACATCAATTAAATAAAACAAGCAAGCGTTCATCCCCCCGGTATTATGTATCATAACAGTGACACCCACTCAATTTAAGAAGAGCAACATCTTTCGGACTCCGCAACTTCGCACTACTCCTGGTTATCTGCACGATACCCACGCGGAGGCAACATTCAAACACAAGGGGTGAGATATCATAACAATATAATAGGTTATATAATTACAAGTAAAAAGCAGGTATATCATGCAAGATTTCAAGTTCAATAATCATCAGACATGCAATTCAACAATTCCATAATTTAACAATTCAACAAATGCAATGCAACAGACTATGATGCAAGATGCATGTGGTACCATCAAGATATAAGCCCTCTCCCAATAAATTGCTATATATGGCCATGACATAAGCTCTCAACAATTGCCAATACAGGCCAGAGCATAAGTCCTCAACAAGTTGCCAATACAGGCCAGAGCATAAGCCCTCAACGATGCATGAAATGCGACATGCTACAACAAAATCATGCAACCAAAAGTATCACCATTAACACAATGTCAATTTCAGGCCAACATCATCTTCGTAGTACTACAATATCACCTGTAGGTCCTTCTCACAACATGGATACAACACTGATACAATTTATCACCATGTTTAGCATCATAATCCATCCAACATACACGTTCATCGCAATTATTCCGTCCTCTAATTATTCACCGAGTTCTAAAAGCCATTTTCTAATCACCCTCGTCTCTCCTCTGAATCTGAAAGTGACTCAATCCTTAATTCGATTATACTGAAGGAATAATCTCTTACCAGTTGATTCATCAAACCGTTATTCTTTCAAAGTGGACTTCTAATTTTGATCATCACCTTAGCACCTTCTCGGTAATCTACACACAAGCTCGTACTACCTTATTTCCTCCAAACCAAAAACACTGGAGCTTCCGAAGTGATACACTTGGTCTCACAAATTCCTTTCAGCAAACCTTCTAATCATCTCTTCAACATTTCTAATTCAGACGCCGACATCTGATATGGTGCCACAGAAATAATTCTGATACGGAAGACAAGATCAAAAGTAAAACTCCACCTCCCATTCCATATCACCACATGACAAATAAATCACTTTCAGATGTTGGAACCACTTTTAAAACAAAGTTTATTACGTTAGTTTATAACGCTTCGAACGGAACTCGAATCAGACGTCCAAAACTCAAGTTATGAATTTTTGAAGTTTTTGTTGATTTTCATCCCAGGGTACTCGGGTACCCATATATTGTAACCGGGTATCAGCTGAACAAAAAAAGTTTTTTGTCATTTTCTATGTACAAAATGCATTCCAACATATATCTAAAATCCCATTCTTCTTATAACTCGAGAGACACATTACTTTCTTCAAAAATTCAGTTTCCAAAACATCAAAATTCTAATTCTTTTCACAAGGCTACTAATATCTTTGAGTTTCGTTTCTGACTCGTGATTCACAAATACCCAACAATATCAACGACATTCAAAACAACTTACATGACTCCAACAACAAAATTTACAACAGTTCCTCACTCCAGCATTACTCTGAGCAGCGATAACACACAATTGTAACTCAACACGGGCAACTTCACGATCAACTGATAGTGCTGAAACATCACAACCACGTTCTGAGCTTCATCGAGAATTACATATCTCTTGTATATCACTAGCCTTTAAATTTCTCTAAATTTTCTGGGAAGAAAATTTTAACAATACTTGTTCTCCCTCAGAGACGTTCCTACTTGACCAACAAACAAGAACCTTGAATTCGTACAACCTTCAGGCATGAGAATCTGCATCGCCTCGTCAAAACACTTCATGATCCCTTGGTTTAATTCCAAACAATTCACTCTAGGGATAAAATTAAGTCAATCCAACATACCTTTCTAACTACAAATCACAATAGTCCCTGGGAAAACATTAAGACTCACACACAATTGGCACATCGTTAGTTATAACATCACCCTCCACTCCTAGAGATGCGAACACCACAAGTACTTGATCATTCTCGGTCAAGGACACTTTGACTTGACCGCTAGAAATAAATATTGAATCCATACTCTCTTTAAAATTGGAAAAACAACATAGTCTCATCAACCTTTGTACTTATGCAATAGACCAATTGTTCACACCTGAACCATCTCAGAGAGCACAAGCTTCTTCCTCCACTTGTTTCAATCTCCCTCTTGCAAATAAGTGATTAGAAAAGCAACAGAGCACCGACAGTGTTTCATACACATATCACATACTAAGGAACAACACATCAACACTATTCAACTATCACACTACAGACTCAACAACTTGGTCGGACGGACCGACCTGCTCTGATACCAATTGTAACACCCTATTTTCTCAAACAGTAATTTTAATAGAAATCACAGTAAAATAAAACTCCAAGAATAAGATGTCACGTCATTCAACATATTCAAACTTTGCTCAAATATAATTAAATAGATACATAACACATATTTCAGATGAATCGACAATATTTTAACATAGTCTTCAAACTTCAACTTTATTAATGAAGAGAAATGAAATTCGTAAATTGTTTTCAACATCTTTAACTCATCACAAAACATAATTTTTAATCAAATAAAATAAAGTTTATAGTACTCCCACAATAATCCAAAATAAAAACATCAATTAAATAAAACAAGCAAATGTTCATTCCCCCGGTTTTACATATCAGAGCAATGACACCATTCAATTTAAGAAGAGCAACATCTTTCGGACTCCACAACTTCGCATTACTCATGATTATCTGCATGTTACCCACGTGGGTGCAACATTTAAACAGAAGGGGTGAGATATCATAACAATATAATTGGTTATATAATTATAAGTAAACAGTAGGTATATCATGCAAGATTTCAAGTTCAATAATCATCAGACATGTAACTTAACAATTCCATAATTTAATAATTCAACAAATACAGAGCAACCGACTCTGATGCAAGATGCATGTGGTACCATCAGGGCATAAGCCCTCTCCCAACAAAATGCCATATAAGGCCAGGGCATAAGCCCTTAATAATTTCCAATACAGGCCAGAGCATAAGCCCTCAACAAGTTTCCAATACAGGCCAGAGCATAAACCCTCAACGATGCATGAAATGCGACATGTTACAACAAATCATGCAACCACAAGTATCACCATTGACACAATGCCAATTTCAGGCCAGCATCATCTTCGTATTACTACAATATCACTCGTAGGTCCTTCTCACAACATGGATACAACACAGATACAATTTATCACCATGTTTAGCGTTATAATCCATCTAACATACACATTCATCACAATTATATCGATAAAAATTTAGACCACTATTACAAAAATTAATATCATATTATAGAAAATATTTTTAGCTTTCCAACGGTCCAAATGGTGTGTCAGACGGACATCTGAGGCGAAAGTTAAGAATTTTTGAAGTCTTTCAAAAATTCTGTTGACCACAGTGGTAATAAGTTACTCAATACCAGTAACCGATTATTTTATGAGACAATAGTGAATCACGCAAAAACCTTTAGCGGTTACCGGTTATTCAATCCCAATAACCGGTTACTGCATATAAAACAGTCCCAGTATTTTCCAAAATTGCAACGGATAGCCAGTTACTCAATCTCAGTAACCGGTTACCACTAAACCAGAGTCCAAAAATCAGTAATGTTCTGCTTGGAATTTCATTCTTTTCATCTAAAAACCACTTTTGAGACTTACCCAAACACATCAATTATTTGTAATCATCAACACACATTATATGACATAATTCTAACATAAATATCACATCAATT